TCATCTCCTGGAACTCATCAACTTCTTTCTCCTTTCTCTTTAGCAGTTCATTATCTCTCTTCTCTTCCATCTCTGTTAGCTTAGACATTATGAATTATCTAAATTCCTTATCAGACATTTCCATGATTTTTACTGAACTGCTTGTGGATGAAGAAGAGTTACTCTTTTCCCTTGGAGGAGAGGTATTTTCTTGTTTTCCCATATTTCTTGTGATCCGGCGGTGATTTCTTGTCATCTGATGGATGGTGTGTTTCTTTCAAATTCTTGAAGTTCAGCCTTAATGTTCAGGAGCAAGCAGACAGAGGTGATCTAGAATCTCTTTGCCATTCTGTTGTGATCGCTGGTGCAGAAGATTCAGTAGATAGTGGGGAATATTTTAACCCTATTAGTATTTGGATGTTTAGCTACGGTGCTCTTAGATCTGTCTAAAAACACATTGAAAGGATATTGGAGGGTAGAGAGACAAGAAAAAGGAAAATGAAACAGAGAAACAACAACAAAAAGAGAAAAAAAGACAAAAAAAATTTTTTTAATTGTAATTACTGTTCTTCTTTAAAAAAAAACACACACACACACAAAATAGAAAACCGTGCGGCGCGCTCTAGTTCACTGGAGCCATGTGGAACCTTCTGAAGGCTCCGCTTCTGCCTGGGTGGGAGGAGCAGAGTGATAACTATAAGATAAAAGGTGGAGCTGAGAGCCAGAGAAAAACTGTGCCTTTTAAAAAAAGTGTAAAAAGGAAAAATTACCAAAAAAAGGGAAGACAGAAGCTGGGAGAGACAGGAACTGAGACATAGAGACAGAGATAGAAGGCTGGGGGTGCGGGGGGGGGGGGGGGGACGCGCCCGCGATACCACTAGCTCGTTTGTTGGAGGCTGAATTATCAGTAGGAAATCTTCATTCTCTGAAAAATCTAGTTCGCTGGAGCCATGTGGAACCTTCTGAAGGTCTGGCTTCTTCTGCCGCTAGCTCGTTTATTGGAGGCTGAATTATCAGTAGGAAATCTTCATTCCCTGAAAATTCTAGTTCGCTGGAGCCATGTCAAAGCTAAAATAATATTAATTAAGTGATTCTCTTCCTAAAGTTGAATTTCTTTTCCTAGTCATTTACATATATATGAGATATTTTTGTTATGTGACCAGGAAAATGGAGAATATGAAATAATTAAAAGTATTTCTAAGTACAGTAGGATCAGTTAAAAAATACCAATAATGCCATCTGTTTAGAAGTCGGAACATCCATTATAAAATGAAATAATCTATAAGCAACACTTTGATCTTAAATTTCCAACTCCCTTGAAGTATTGGTAATTTAAATAGATAGTATTTTCTAGGTGCCAGCAAATGGCATAGTGGGTATCTTGCTGGACTCCCATATGGCTGACTGCAGTTTGAGTCCTGGACCTAGAAGCCTGGAACTCAGGCTGAGTGCTTGCATGCATGCCCAAAAATCCTGAGAGGAGAATAGAGAAGGGATTGCAGCCTGGCCATTCGCCCCTGAGAGGTGATCTCTCACTTTCTCTTTGTCTCTCCAGTGAGTGCACATGCCATCTGGCAAAAAAATCTCCCTCTTAAAAAAACAGTATTTTCTCTGTGGAGTTATTTGAAATGAATCAAATAAGAGAGCCATATTAATTTTAAACCACCATCAATGCCTACCAACACAACCGTTTGAAATAAAAAGCCACCGCCCAGCTGCTGTGGCATAGCTGTAATGCAAGTCTTGCAGGATGAAAGCCATGTGGCAGCTGCATTTCAGATCTTCTATGTGTCCTGAAAACGCACTGATTGCAGGTACCCAAGGTTCTGAGGAGCTGGAGGCGTGGGAAAAGAGCCTCATCAGAATGACATGACCCTGTCCAAGGCATCTCTTTCAGTCATTGTCTTTCTCACATGCACATATACACACACTCGGGACCAGCAGATGGTGCAATGATTACATGACTGGACTTCCACATAGTTGACCACGGTTTGAGTCCCAGACCTGGTGGCTTGAAACACAGCCTGGCCCTTGTGATCGCATGCCTAAAATCCCAAGAGGAGAACAGAGAAGGGATTGTGGCATGGCCATCTCCCCCAGGGGATTTGC